GGCAGGGCCTCACACACTCTTTTCTTGACACCCAAATACGCACTGATCTCTTTTAAGATGTATAATCCTAAAATCTTCTCTCAATTCATTAACCGCATGTGAGAAAAATAAGAATTATTCCTGTAAAAGCATAACCTGAGTTACGCCATTTTAAAATCATGTTAAGGCTTTGTTTTACCTTGTATAACCTGATTATATAATTTAGATGACATTTAAGAACATGAGAAAGGAAGTGTGTAATTCCTGTGTTTTTGAGAAAATGTTTATCTTGCAGGAAATATGCTCTTGGGTTAACTTGCCCTCATTAATTAAAGGAAGTACGCAATTGATGTTTTTGAGGGGTATTTCTGTTGGGAATTGGGGAATTTCCAGGGTGGATTATGTACTGCGTATGTTATATAAGATGTTATGTAAGATCTGAAACTGATTCCCAAGGTACTTTATTGACATGTATTCTGATGTTCCTGAAGACTATAAAAACTCGTGTAAATTGTTTTATTTCCGTCTTTCTCTACTCCAGAGAGAAAGGCCCTTTGCAAAGTAAATAAACTCTGTTCCAGGATTATTTTAGTCTCTGTCTCTTTAAAATGGTAATGGGGTTTACCTGTCGATCACACCGCATTTGTTTACATTCAACTCTTATTTAGATGTCAATATAGATATCATCTTCGACAGATTTCTAAATACTGATACTATGTTCCCCACATTCATTATTGTTGCTACTCATCCCTAATGCTATACCTGTTTTGAGAGAAGGCCAAAAGATGCTCAAATATGGAGAGGGTTTTCATTTGGTAGTGACCATCTTGAAATGTAAACACTGGTGTTAAAATTCACTGTAATTTTTTTTTTTACTTTGGCAGTTTTCAAACAATTCTTATGCTTATGAGAATAGTCCATAGTAAACTAGAATGTTCTTGATAGGGCAGCAAGGCTGCCCAAAATAAGACCAAGCCTACAGGTGAGTAATAGTTGTTCAAAAGCCTATTAAAACATTTATTTGGAAAGAATAATTAACAGCAAATTAATACAGTAAGTTTCTAATTATTCGTACCACAGAAGTGGGTCTGAAAGGGAGGCTCAGGTGGTGCTTTGTCCAGACAAAAGTTGTGATGCACTAAAGCTGTAGCAGCCATAATCTACTCAAAGAAAAACAGTAAAAGAATGAGAAACATTAATGAAATCATATTCCCATTCATCTTTTAACAATTTAAATTAAGCATAGATTTAGTAATCTATTCAATAAATCTAACCATACATCATTATTCAGAGTTGACAACATATTGGTTTTATTTGGAACAACCTGTCAAGAAACACTTTTCTTTATGTGCTATGTAAATACAACTTCTCCATGCAACTCATACTAATTTAAAATTAGTTCATCACTTTCTTATTTTTCACATTTTGGGCAATTACAAAACTCTTCCTTCAAATAGCAACAATTAAAATGAGAATATATTTTACCAACTCATTTCAATTACACATTTTTTGAAGAGACAGAAAATAATTTTATTAAAAAGTTAAACTTGTCTTGAGCAAGGGAAGTAAAAGAAAAAGCAAACTTTTTAAAAAGTTTCTTATTAATGATATTGAGCAAATTTTGACAATTCAATAATAAGTACAGCAACCAAACAAGACAGGTGCAGACTTCAACCAATAGTTAGGATTGCAGAAAAAACAATTGCAACCAGCCTGCATTTCATTAAGGATCTGTATACTGCACAAGCCAGAAAGAGGGCTGAGAAAATATTTACAGACCCCTCACAATCTGGACATAAACTATTTCAACTCCTCCCCTCAGGACACTGCTATAGAACATTGCATGCCAAAACAACTAAACACAGTTTTTTTTCCCTTGTACCATCACTCTGCTGAACACCTAATTCTCACAGCACTGTGTTATGTCTAAGGATATTTACTCATGTAGTAGGGCTGTATTATTATTATCCTTCTTATCTTTCCTATTACCTTCTACTATTGGTATCTTATAATTATATTACTTTGTATACCGAAAGTTTATGCACCGGAGACAAATTCCTTGTGTGTCCAATCACATTTGGCCAATAAAGAATATTCTATTCTAAGTGGAAAGGTTCTTTCCATGCTGACAATTAGAAATTAGTTACTATCAATATGCAACAAAATCTGTATTCTTTTTAGGAAACAATACTTTTCTTTTTTGCTCATTTGTTTTCTAATTTTCTACATAACTGAAATATGTTGCTCTGTGAGTAGATTGTATATATTTTCTCCAAATAGATATTCAAAACCTACAAAAAGTTACTGATCATTATAAGAAGACAGTTAAGAACAAACACTTTTGTGTTCAAAAAAGGATGAGACTACATCAAAAATGTGCTTCAAACCGGAAGGTTATAAAAACAAATTTACATAGCTATGTAACATGTATTTTGTCAAATAACCACATTTTGTTTTTTCTCAACCCACAATATTCATAGCTTACCTCATTATGATGGGTTTTCATGTTCTGAATTGTTTTCATGGCCAGGGACATGATCACAAGAGGTGGTGGAGGAAGATCCTTCACCACATTAATTAAATCAGGTTTTAGTGCCATTAATTCCACTTTACACCAACTGACAGGCTGACTCAATAGCTCTGAAGTAACACAGAAGCCTTCTTTAGACATAAACAAAAACATACTAATATTTAAATATGGTTAATATAATTATTTTACTAAATAAACGTTTGCAGCAATAGTAATAGCAATAGCACTTATACACCGCTTCATAGTGCTTTACAGCCCTCTCTAAGTGGTTTACAGTCAGCATATTGCCCCAACAATTTGGGTCCTCATTTTACTGACCTTGGAAAGATGGAAGACTGAGTCGACCTTGAAACAGTCAGGATCGAACTCCTTGCTGTGGGCCGTCAGCCTGCAATACTGCATTTTGTTTCAACAGGCCGGGCTGGCTTAGAAAATGAATTTTAATTGGGTGTTTGTGGTTTTTAACATAAGGGCCAAATTCTAATATATTTTAAATTGTTTTTAAATTTTATGGGTATATGTTTAACATGGCTGTTAAATCAATCAATCAATCAATAATAAATTCTAACCACACTGCGCCACAATGGCTCTCTTGCAGTTTAATAATATGTTAGTAGAACTGGGGTCTGAATTCTTCAAATATAACCCATATATTTATATTAATCCATTATATGCATCTAAATTATATAACAGGTATCCATAAATAAAATAAATTTATATTTATAAAATAGTATGTCATAAAATGATTAAAAGTATGAGCCGTACAAAATCTGACTGTTGCTAGGTGGATAGCTTAATTGATCAAAAAAATGTACAAAGCAATCTTAGGTTTAGCAGATTTTCCTTTTACATGTATCTGACTGAACTTTGTCCTGAATGCCACATTTCATTTGTGTAGAGAGATATAATATATAAAGGTTCATACGTGGATTTTTTATTTCCAGCCAACTTGGTCCTTTAATCTTCCTGCTAATTAACAGGAGCTCTAGACTTGAGGTGTTTGTTCCAAATACATGAGAAAATGTCTCTCCTTTCAGACCTTGTGGTAGTCGACAATATTCAGCCTGAGAATTGAAATATTAAACTATTTTACTATTAAATTGAAACAGAACTTTGCGAATTTTATAACTGACCATTTTCTACAGTTTGTACAAAAGAGGCAAATAATAAAATTCACTATACCAAGACAAAAAACCTTTAAATCAGAAACCCGTACTGAAATGCTCATGAGAAATGTAAAATATTAAAAATTAATGTTCCTAGGAATAATAATGTGCAGTTTATGCAGCTTCCGTAACTTGTAATCAATGCATGTTGTGCTGTAAAAAATATTCAAGTATTGTGTAGATACAAAATAGATAGATGAATTTGGAGGGTTGTCAGCAGAGTGACAATTAATGGCTTATTTATGGCTAGTATGTTTCTAAATCCAATGAACGCTGAAATATCGTTGAAGAAACTGCAGTGTAATGCAATGAATCAAGTGATAGGGTTACTTCAAATACATGAGTATCCCACATCCAAATCTTAACAATCTCCATTGATATCCTGCAATATTTGTGTTAATTTTTGTAATTATCTGGAACACAAATGCATAAATAAATTTCTATGATACATAAGCAATTATTTCATATTGGGCATGAATCCCCTTTAGTTCATGTTACTAATTCATAAAAGATTATAGCAATTTTTGCCAAGACAGAAAAAAAGGGTGCTTGCACTATACCAACGATTCTAAAATAATTCAGAAACATACAGTAGATGGAGGTACATACGTCTGTGCAAGTGATGGTATTAAATGTCCTATCACTCTAAGACATCGAAATAGCTTTCTGATTCCTAAGATTAATCTTCTGACAAATTCGGTTACTTGCAGTAGCACTTTTGAAGTTATAATAATTAGTCAGCAAACATATGAACTAAGCAATATTTGCATCTTTTTATAACTTTAAATTTTAACCTGTTAGATTTTAATATATAGAATATTTCAATCAAAAAATGACTGCATTTTTAAAAAATTACATGTGTGTACACATGTAGTAATGCACTTGATGTTTCTTCAGCCATGGTTCTTCCATATACCATTTTATACTGCAATTTACTTACCGAGTACCTAACTTCTAAATAGTCAGATTTTGCAGGAACATCTGGTATCTCAAAAGCATAATTCTTTTCCACTTTCTATGAAAAATATATTTTTTAAAAAAATAAAAAGATATACATCATATATCATATCATATATACCAGGCATTGATATATTCTGAATAGCATATTTCTTTTGTCTAAAACATTTATTCTGTTTTTAGTTTTAAAATCTGTAATGTGAAATCCATACAGGTCTCCCTCTTTAAACATAACCTGAAGATTGCATAATTGTTTAACTCATATATACATGCGCTTCAACTGTCACCACCTGCCTATCTTCTCAGGAAGGCTTCTGACAATGTCTGGAACCATCATGCAGCATCACAAAGGGCCAGCAGTTATCTCAGCTGGATGTGCTTTGTCAGTAGCAAGAGAAAGGAAACAGTGAAGGTCAGCTGGGGACAATGTAGGAATGGCAGCGATAGGCTGTGGCAATGGAGTGAAAGTTGGCCAAAGGACAGACATGGCAAGGAGACAGGCAGGTGAGGGAAACTGAAGCAGAGGCAAGCATGGCAGGGCAGAAGAACCATGAGGTTCTCATCTAATGAACCTAATGCCTGCAACTAGGTCTACCAGAACTGCCCTCACTAAATGGTATGGTCATGTGATATTTCACTTAATGACTACTTTGCTTAGCAATGGAAATTCTGGTCCCAATTATGAACATTAAGCTAGGACTACCTATAATAGACCAAACTTAGAATAGGATTTATATACCAAAACAGATGTAGAAACTGGGAATGGGAGAAAAAGATCACTCATTTATTTCCAAATCCTTAAGTTATGATTTATGAAGTTGAAAATATAACATCTAAATTGGTCCATTATATCTAACATTTCACTATTTTCTACTAAAAGACACAATGGTGATTTTTCCTGTAGTTCTTTATTCTTATACCTAACAGTATGAAATCATCAATTTATGTTCTACTTAGGTATACTTTTAAAGCAACAATATTTAATATGCCTGGTAGTTGGTTTTTTTAATCCTATATTTCATAGAGTTCCAATATAATAAAGAAGAATTCAACAAGCAATGAAACTAGATTCCTAGTACTTAGGCATCTTTCAACTTTCACGAAAAGGCATACAGTATTTACTAAAAGAAAAATATCTAAATAAGAACTAGAGCAATATATGTACATCAGAAACTACAGTATATTCAGTTTCTCAGGTATGGGCTTCATTTTTCTTTTTATATTATATTCTTTTACTTAGAAAGAGTAGAGAGGGAATGAGATGTGCCCCAGATATTCTTGTCAATTTAAAAAAGATGTGCTATAGTTCATAAACAAGGAAGATCCATTTCAATATCTCATGATAAACAGCCTCACATCTCTCAAATTTCTGCTTCAGTAAAATAATAATCTATTAATTCTTGTTCCTTTAAATGAATATTCCTCCCCATGAAGAATGAAAAAAGAATCAGATTTCCATGCTTAGGAGCATATGATTGGGAAGTGACAGATTGTTTAACAAACCTTGGATTTGAATTTCATAATCTTATATTTCTCTGCAATCTGGTCATTAAATTCTTGATAGATGTCCATCATAGCCACAGGAATCGCTGTTTCTTTTTCAGAAATTAACTCAATTCGCTTTAAGAAGAATTTTTACAATCATTGCAATACCAATATATGTTTCAAGATTACAGAAAATCAAATATTTCTCTAAAATATAAATAGGTAGTTTTCTTCAAGTAGCCTCCCAGAAAACTGTTTTCTGGATTCAGTAAATCAGAATTATTATTGGAGACTCAGACCATAGCTATTATTGTTTTAACACTTCTACTTTGCTATTTAACCCAATATGAATTATTTGGGTTGGTTGTTGTATAACATAGACTTACTTAGAGACAAAAGAGCAGTTTAGCACTCAGCTGTAACAAAGCCAGAAAAGGCAATGAAGGAAAAGAAAGAAAAATTTCAGATGGGATAGAAAAATAAGAGGTTTACCCAAAGCATCCAGGCTAGGGTTGTAGGTTGTGAAAGCAGTGAGACTGTACTAAATAGCCTATGTACTATTTCAAACTACTTAAAATAAATATAAGAGCAGCAATTTAGATTGGAATCGTAGTACTCACAATTGCTTTTTGGTTTTTATGTATTATGGTCTCATGTTATATATGTAGACTTACCTACTGATTATATTAATCTATAGTTTCACGTTCACATTTAATTCTAATTAGGCGGGTCAAATTTTTCAACTTTTAATTTCCAAACATTATGGGTGCTCAAAAGTTGTGACATGCCTTGGGGATTGTAAAGATATTTTGGTTACTTTAATATAATTTAGATGTGCTTGGTAAATAACTACATAAATATCATAACTTTTTAACATTTTTCTTTCATTTCATAGATGCAGCTGTCTTTCTCTTTTTGTTAAACATTATTTTGTCTGACAGTGTTAAATATTGCTAGCCTCATTTCCTGTGAGTCTGATAACTGATCTGTAATGGCTTCTAAAAATAGAACAAGACTGGGAACATTCACTCATATGAGCAACCTAATTGGGACTGGCAGAGACTTGTTGCCATCTGAACTCCCATCACTGCGAGACATTCTCAGATATGGCCTACGATTAAGAGAACAAAGTAGTGATGATGCTAGAAACTACCCAGCAGCCAGTCTTGCAAGAGACATATATCCAAAAATGCTTGAAAAGTGGGAACAAGCAAACAGTTCTTTTGACTCCTGTTGTAAATTCACAAGTGACAATCTTGAACAAGATCCAAGAGAGCTGGGATCTAGCCAAAAACGTATCTCTTGGTAGAGGAAAGTTAGATGTCAAAGAGACTTCTACTGTGAAACTTAACAAACTGTTTGACATCCTCAACTGCAAGTGTCAAATTGTTCTGTGTGCCGAATTTGGCTGCCCTGCTGGCTGCAAAAAAGCAGCTCACATTAACTGTACCCGCCCTAAGGAGATGAAGACACCACTGAAGGAACTTGCTAGAGAGACAAGATTGGTTCTTTTGGATCACACCAGATTGGTTTGCCAGATGTGCCCGAGCAGAAATGATTAGGCAAAAGGCAAAAGCAGCAAGACAATGAGAGGCAAAGGCTCACTAAATATAAGCAGAGAAGTATTCCAGACACTGACAAATGAAGTAATTACCTCTTATGAGGAAAATGAAGGACAGACAACTGATGAAGGTAAAGGAGAATGAGATGAAAGTTATGAAGAGGCCTTAGACCAAGCACACATGCCCTCTACTTCAAAAGAAAAGACAGACTACAATAGATTAGAAATAACAAATGTCACTATGCAGAAATAGCTATGCAGCATAAAGTACAGTATTGGTCTAAGTGCCACTGCTGCCATTACCACAGCCACCTTCATAGATGCTGGCTTGATCACCGAAGAAGACAAGAGACTTGTAGTTGACCACAATAAAGTCAAGAGAGCCCAGGAAAAAATTATGAAGTCCCTAGATCAAGAATTTGAAGAGCTCTCTAAGAAGAATGAAATAGAATGCATCTTCTTCAATGGCCATGTAGATGCAACTAAAGTTATGCTGAAAGCAAACAACTCAGACCAGCACTCCCCAGTACCATCAAAGAGGAACATTATTCTGGTGTATTTCATGAAGAAGAAGAAAGACATTGACATAATCTTGAAGACTAATGGAAAAGATTCTACAAATGTTAATACTGGTTGTGAAGCTGACGCCATGCACTGGGTAGAGGTCAAGCTTGACTGGAAGCTGATCTGGTTGATGTGTGCACTTCACATGAATGAGTTACCCCTACGACACTTAATCACAAAATTGGATGGGAAGATTTGTCTAACAACAAATGGGCAGGTAAAATTGGCAACATGCTGGTCCCTGCAACAGAACTTGACATTAATCCTTCATTCACCAGTTTCAATTGGTGAGTCTCTCATTTCACTGAGTGTCAGTGTTGTAAAGGATCTCTCTACTGATCAAGCGTATGGATACAGGATCACACAGGCAATAAAGACAGGAGAACTTCCCACAGATCTGGCTCTTCTGGAATTTGCTCCATAAACCATTCATGATGGTTGACAACTGCAAGTAGGCTTTGTCAAACATAGGTTTTAAAACATGGGTTTAAAGGCAAAGTTTCTTCAAAACTTTAAAGTTTCTTCAAAACTTAAGAATGATAGTGTATACATCTTTAGTGTATACTACCCTTGCCGGTTCAAAATCAAAATAAAACATCCTTGGATTGAAGGCTTGCATCATGTGTTATTCTAGATGCAATAAGTCAGACTGCAAAAGAAGGCTGTAGTAGATGCTGTTTTGCCAACTATTCAGCGCTCAATATGGTCCGCTTTCAGTGAAATGATAATCCACACATTCTTGTGTTCAGATGACATTCAAGAGAGAAGTGCAAGAGATCATTGACTTGAGGGGTGCAAACAATGAAGCACTGGGAGATTTTTCCGTACGTGTAAGAAAAATGCCTTTAATCAATGTGAGAGCATCCACTCTGATTGACTGGTTGACTGGTCTGAAGGTATATAAGAGCCACCTTTGACATGCAAATTGACTACAGTGAAAAAAAAGTTCATTGACAAACCAATGCAAGTACCACAGTGGCCCTGTCATGCCCAATCAATAGAGATGTGTGAAACAGGTCACAGAGGCAGCAAGCAAAGTGTATACACATGAGAAACATGAGGGTTATATCAGAGGCCAAGAAGCAAGTCGGCATATGATGTTCAAGAATCAAAACAAGACTTGATGAAACTCGCTTAAACGTTTTTGTAACTTAGATAATTGCTTTCTAATGTTAACTTATGATTGCATGGTTATTTTTTGCTTAGCTAGATAAGATGCATGAGCAGAAAAAACTTTAATTTTTGTAGCACGAAGTGTAATTTTGAGAAGATAAAGTTAATAGTATTTGAGTTACAAGAGACTTTTGTGGGGTATATGATTGGACGTGGATTTACCATACCAAGCTAAACATTGTGCAATTGCAAAAATAATAGCAGATTTGAATTCTTGGTGTTAAAAACCCATATTTTTGAAAACCCTCACTGAAAAAATTTGCAAAAAATTAATTTTCACCCCATTAAATGACACGCCCTATTAACATAGATGTGAACAATGTCATTTATGTTTGCCTTAATGCCTTGTGCCTTCTATAAAAAAGATGAGAAACATTATTAGATGAGAATATTGTAACATAAGAAAACATACCGATTCACGTGGCAGTAAATAAATAGTTCTTTCTATATTTTTTACTGTTACACAACAGCTCACATAGGACTGCGCTGATTCAATCCATACTTTCCCAAAGAGAAATACCACTCCTAAGGTGATAGAAAACGAGACAATTCACATTAATCAGAACAGTTTAGCACAGCTGCTAATGGAAAAGCTACAATATTAAGAATTACTAAATAAGCACACTAATTCACCCTTAGGAACAAAATGATTTCCAATTTGTAGTCTCTTTTTTTTTTTAATTTTAAAAAACAAACTTTATTGAATTTAAAAATTTTAAAA